TCTTAAAATCACATAAAGCCATATTATAACATCGACCGAGATAAAGAATAAAATGAAATATTAAAAACACGATGTATCTCGCTGCATTGCGCGAGTACGCTTCTAGTATATATATATATATATATATATATATAAATACACACACACACACATTTATCTTATTGCAATTTATTAATTCTTATAAATTATGTCTATTTTTTTCTATTTGATTAACAGATTCTTCTGGATGCAACCCTACAAAATACTTCTCCGGTGATTGCGGGGGAACCGGTAGAGTTGGTGTTTTAGTTGGAGGTATTTTCTGTTTCGCGCATATATATTTCATATATGATATAGGCAAAATTAATTTATTATTAGATTAAAATATGTCCATATGTAGAGTAAGAGACTGTTTAGTAATTTTTTTTGGACAATTGCTAACTAAGATAAAAGGTCTGACTAAGATTAACATAACTCAAAAAGTTAACGTTTACTTCATATTTTCTATCAAGTGTTGGCAAATTGTATTTCCAACAAATCAAGATTTGTAAGGTAAAGACAATGCTTAGATTGGAGGTTTCTTGAATTTCTTTTTTCTTATCCTATATTTATATTACTTCTTCTTGTGGTTCGTTTTTCTGATCAACAGAAAACAGACAAAAAAAACCCTATGGAAACTCAAACAAGAACGAGATTTAATACGTGTGTAAGGTGTTTCTCGTCATTGAAGAAAAAAAAATGTGAGAAAAAAGATTGAGAGGAGGGTAGACGAGGAAAAAATAAAAAGGTGTTGCTGACTCTGGTAAGCATTGTCCTTATGTCTTACTCCGGTCGATTGAACAGTCAATATATTCTCTTCGTCAGAGGATGGTAAACACCCTACCTCTTACTCAAATAAGAACCTTTTACGAGGTACTGGTTACATGCATGCGTCGTATCAAGTATCTTTTTAGAAATAATTACGAACTACACCCCTATGGTTAAAAATATTTATAGAAATAATTAGGAACTACACCCCTATGGTTTATAATTTATAACTTTGAGGGTGGAAAGGAGTAGGGGTGAGACATTTGTCGTGATGGTGGATAATGGATCTTGAGTTTGGGGGATGGATTTTGCTTGTGTGTATGTGGGGAGGTTAGTGGAGTTAGGGTGGTGATGGGGGTAGGACAATGGTGACAATTAGGAATAAAACAAAATAACAATAATAAAATTTAATATATATATATATATATATATTAGAAGAGTACTCGTGCAATGCAGCGATACATATCTCGATTTTAATGTTTTATTTTATTATTTATCTTTGTTGATGTTATAATAGGATTTTATGTGTTTTTTAAGAAAGCAATAATGATTTTATTTTTGAATAAAATATAAACTTGAAGATATCATAAAAATTTGAAAAAATATATCAATGTTAATATCAAATCAACTATTTAAAACTTCTAATTTTTATGTAATT